AACTAGTCTGTCTCACAGTCCCTGAACCACATTATTTTCCCTACAGCCTAGCCTTCCATGTAGTGCTAAAGCCCTAAACGAAGCAAGTCTAGATTTCCCCAGGTTTCCCTAGGGCTCCTTTTCAATTTAAATGGGCTTGTTTGTTACTATCAAAATTATATATATTCAGAGACTAAGCCTTAGTCTACACAACAACATGTGTCTAGCGCAGTGTAACTTAAAAAGGAAACCTTTATTCTATCCCGTGAATCTTGGACAATAGGAGGTGTTACGTTGCAACTCCCATTGAACAAATCGTGAATACGAGATGTTAACTCATGGCCCCTGGCTTTCATAGCGTGAATACAACACACTAGGAGGTACTCCGACATGTGGTTTTTCGAATTTATATGTTCCGACAGTAGTTCAGTAATCATATCAGTATTTGTTTGTTTGTTGTTTAACGCCCCACTCAGCAATATTCCAGCTATATGGTGGTGGTCTGTACATAATTGAGTCTTGACCAACATGGACATCGATGTACGCAACTGGGATGCGATGACATGTGTCAACCAAGACAACGAGAATGACCACCCGATCCCGTTAGTTGCCTCTTACGACAGGCATGGGTTACTGAAGACCAGTTCTAACCGTCATCTTCACGGGTCTATCAGTGTTCGAACAAGGAAGAAATACCACGAGACCAAGAACATATTTTTTTCTATCAAAAAAGAACATCCTATATCCTTCAAAATATTTTCCATCTCGACACGAACGCGATGGCTGATTGCATTCATTACAATTCAATGCTGCAATTTGATCACACAGTTTTCAAATACAATATTGTCTGACGCTATTTTCCTCATTGCGACCCAGAAGTGATTGTATAAGGTACAAGGCGATTTTGCCTCTGTGCTCATTTTGATCAGAATATCAAACTTGAATGCTTTTTTCATATATTTTGATTCCCCATGCTGTTTAACGGTAAAGTCTTCCCTCACGATACCATTAAGCGTACATAGTTAAACAAGACACTGGAAAACGAAGGTTAATTGTATTGAAACGGGCGGCGTGTTCTCCCGACCAGAACCCCATTAACTAATGCCATTCAAGGCCTCAGTAATGCTTTCAAGACGTTTTATGGTAGACATGTGGAGGAAATTTCCAAATTTGAGTGAGTGAGTGAGTTTAGTTTTATGCCACACTCAGCAATATTCTAGCTATATGGCGGCGGTCTGTAAATAGTCGAGTCTGGACCAGACAATCTAGTGATCAACAGCATGAGCATCGATCTGCGCAATTGAGATACGATGACACGTGTCAACCAAGTCAGCGAGCCTGACCACCCAATCCCGTTAGTCGCCTCTTACGACATCATTGGTTACTGAAGATCAATATTTTAACCCGGACTTTCACGGGTATCCAAATTTGATGCATCAGTGACAAAAATTATGTCCGATGCAATTCCCTATTTTGACTTATATCATACGAATTATTTCAGGTGAACACTTGACTAGACTTAGCATGTGTTTCGGACGGGTGCCACCAGTGGGGCAGGATATGCTCACCTTTTCGCGAACACCTGGTATCATCACTATTTCATAGTGATGCATAAACACATGCTCTATCATCCTATCGCATGGTGACAATCATTGGATTGTCTGGTTCAGACCCGGTGTGTTTACAAACAACATCATACAGATGTAATACTGCTGAAACAAACATCTGCTCATGATATTATCACAACTGTACAATCGACTGTGCTTCTGGCAGAGATTTCTTATGAATGTGGGAAAGAGTTTTTGTCGCTTCTATTCTATGAACCCCATTAACAACTGTGGGGTCGTCTTGACACAGGCAAGTCAGAAGGCGACCACAAATTTCTTTTTGAGTCTCTCACATCATCTGTAAACAATAATCATGAAATGTTTTCAACATAATCCTTGACAACAACCTCAACAGTTCTTAATTTTAAAACAATCTACCAAATTAATAATTAAAAAAAACGTGAACAACAGAGGACAAATAATTCCTCCTTGTCTAGGTCCCATTAAACATTCCAAATACTCTTACAGTGAAAACTTATTAACAAAACAACAAGATGTAAGTTAGATGTACAAAGATGTTATAAAACATACTTTTAACAAGTGACACTGTACACTATCGAGCGCTTTGGGCAAATCTTTGGAAAGGCAATAGCAGTGTCGTTTGTAGCGCTTCCAATTCCAAAATCCTTGGTCAGCCATACATACCCTGGAACTAATATACTCAATGCAAACCATGCAAGTCTACAACATATGGCAAGTCGAGTTTAGTTTTAGTGCTTATTCAATTTTATTGAAATGATATAAAAACTACAATTTGTTCTTTTCAGAGACACTTAATGTTAGTCTAGAAGATCCTGTTCTAGGTTGTTTTTAACTTTTCTGTCTCTGTCCATGTCTCATGTTCGGTTTTGCAAGGTATGTATATTAGCGTCATACTTAACTATACCTTCATCAGCAGCATACCCTACTAAGACACCGACACCATATCCTACTCGTACACATCATATCCTACTCGTACACAGACATCATATCCTACTCGTACACAAACATCATATCCTACTCGTACACAGACATCATAATCTACCCGTACACAGACATCATGCCCTACTCGTACACAGACAACATAATCTACCCGTACACAGACATCACAACCTACACGTACACATACATCATACCCTACAAGTACACAGACATCATAGCTACTCGTACACAGACATCATACCCAACTCGTACACATACATCATACCCTACTCGTACACAGATAACATACTAGTACCCTACTTGTACACAGACATCATACCCTACTCGTACACAGTGAGTGAGTAAAATTAGTTTTACGCCGCCTTTAGCAATATGCCAGTAATATCACGGTGGGGGACACCAGAAATGGGTATCCCACATTGTACCCATGTGAGGAATCGAACGAGGGTCTTCGGCGTGACGAGCGAACGCTTTAACCACTTGGCTACCCCACCGCCCTCGTACACAGACATCATACCCTACTTGTACACCAACATCATAAATTCTACTTGTACCCAGACATCATTCCCTACTTGTCCGCCAACATCAGAGCCTACTCGTACAGACATCATATACCCTACTCTCGTACAGACATCATACCCTACTCGTACAGACATCATACCCTACTCGTACAGACATCATACCCTACTCGTACAGACATCATGCCCTACTTGTACACCAACATCATACCCTACTCATACAGACATCATACCTTACTAAATACTTGTACACAGACATTATACCTTACTCGTACACAGACATCTTGGATGTTACATGATGAAAATATCAGTAGACCTTCGCCTTTACGTGGCACAATCCCCTCTGCAAATCTGGTGAGTATGGGTTCGAATCCCAGATATCATTATTGGTTCATGGTGTACTTTACAAGTGGTTAACGCCTACACCTTATGTCACTTTTGACATTAAACGTCCACAGAAAACTTACACAGTACAATTTAAGACAGAATTCAAAGTGACACTTGACCCAGCTAACACACGTACTATATCTAAATGTGGTCATACGTTATTCCTTTTCACGTAGAAAATGGGGTCAGTATCCATAGAACAGAGAACAGCTTTTAATACATTTTATTACAAGCGGTACACTTCGAACACTTTCGACAACGTACACATTATTCACCAAATACAATAAAATCAAACACATTAAATAATCGAGTTTAAAGTAAATGCTTAAAGGTCACATGCAACCAAAAATAACCAAACATAATTAAAGCACAATTATCACTTATTCATGACATATAATATACATTGCTAATTATGAAAATACAAATAAACAAAATTATAAGTGTACAATCGCAAATAAAAAGTGCAATATTTTGTACTTGGGTTTACTTCCCTCGAAACGAAGCACCCGGGAGACCGAACTCAGTCAGAGCGGGTGGGATTGCACTCAAGTGTAACGAAAACTTTCATTGGCTGGTTCATTTGCGGATACGCTGATGGCTCATTGTGTGTGTGTGTATATAGAGATGTTGGGTTTTGTAAATACATGCTCATTTTTTCTGCATTTGCGTTCGATCCAATCAACAAATACTGAGATGGTGAACTACTGCGTGGCTGGAAACTGTCGTTCGTCCAAGTACAAAGCAGGACTTGAAACTGACAATCTGAGTTTGCACTGGTTTCCGTCCGATCCAGTCATCCGAGAAAAATGGATGCAGTTTGTTTGCAACTCACAGGCATAATAACATGTCATGTGTACAAGTATCACACCTGCCTGTCTGTGTAATTACATAATGTGACAGAGACAGAGCTCAGGTGCACGAGCCATAAATCAATGTGTTTTATTTATGGTGTATAGCCTGATACGTTTAAAGTTCAAATTGCATGTGGTCAATGATTGAAGTTGTGTATTGCATTAGCAGACAGGCAGGCAGACACACGTGTCAATAAAACAGACACTGAGTTTTGTCTGTGACAGAGACTGCTTATCACAATCAACATATTTTTCTATGTTTCCATAGACATGTATTAAAACATTTCAGTTTTCAAGCTGAGCACTTTTAAACAAAGAAATTAGTATTTCTAATGCTACACTTTCTTGAAAACTTGGTTTGCAAATCTGCCAACCCCCCAAAAGCAAGATGTGAAAACAAGTGTATTTTTATTACTGCAGACCAAAGATGTTTGTAATCACAAGAAACATATTTTGTTCTCGAAACTTCCACCACAGCGATAATCCTAGCACGCATCACTTGCTGTGTTTTTACGAGTCGCAATCCCGGTTCAAGCCGCGCGAACCTAATCACTGCGCATGCGCTATGGGCGCAGCGCAGCACAGCTGTTGGGGTGAAATTAGTGAATCGTTTGAACTCCGATTTCGCGGGGTTTTTTTCATTGCGTTATTTTTCATCTTTATAAGTTGAATTTGCATTTTTGATAATTTGTTACAATAAGTCCATACCGAAAGGTATCAGAATCTGCAAAGTTGTATTTTGCGTTGCATGTGACCTGATGAATTTTTCCTCCGTGGAATCAATACGCCATCTTGATTCCGAGAGTGAGGATGACAGATATCAGGACGAGGCTAGGGGTCAATGACCTGGCGTCATTGGGGCATTGACCGCTTTTCTCGCAGCTGGCACTGATTCCACCTGTTTGACAGTAGATGGCATAGTCGCCGTACTTCGTGCAAAGGTCCTCGTCTGAAAACAAAGAGATATGTCAATTATGTTTTGCCTGCTAGATATCTGTTGTCACACACAGGACAATGTGTCGAGAAAAGGCTTCAGCCAAACATTTGAGGCGTCTCTTTAGCCAAGTTTTGCTGAGTGAGTGAGTATGGTTTTAGGAACTTCCAGGAACATCACTGAAGGGGGCATCAGAAACAGACTTTACATAATGTACCAATAATGGGAGTCTTCGGTATGACGACCTGACACTTTTAACCACAAGGCTACGCTCTTCACTCCAAGACTTAAGTACTACTCACTGAGTGTGTTACAGATTCCCTGTTATTACAAACAAGATATCGGAAAAATAAAAACAAAATCAGGCGAGTATAAAGAATTTTAAACTAATTACGTATATAATCTTATGACTTGGAATTACTCACTGAGTGTGGCACAAATTTCCGTTTCAGGCCCCGACGGAGTAAATGGGTCCGTGCAGTCAACCTTTGAAGTACCATACTTGCACGCTGTGCAGGAGCTCTTCGCTGAAATGGGAATCATTCTGACACTTGAGTTGTTGAAGAGTAAAGCTTTGAATTCAAGAATATGCCAATTGCAAGTTTTCACAACATACTCGAATCTTTTTCATGTTGTCAAAGATGGTACAGCTGATTCAGAAAAAACAACAATGCAGCCTTTCATCATCTGGTTCAGTAATTATGGACAGTAATTAATCACAACGACCACTAGGTTTCTGTTGACTTACAGTTTTTATTTATTATTCATCCATCATCTATGTATTCATCCATCCATTCATCCATCTATATATTCATCCATCCATCTATCTACTAGTATCTGTCTATCTATCATCTATCTATCTATCTTTCTATCTATCTATATCTATCTATCTATTCATTTATTTCAACATGTGCCTTTTGAGTGTAGATGTGTTAGAATAATAATAGTAATATAGCTTACTTTCATGTACGACAAAGTTTTCTCAGTAGCTTTACTGTCATGAAATACCGCCTTGAACACATGATATGTGAACCAGTAACCCACGCTGGGAGTGAAAAACCCTTGGCAAACAATTGTACTTTGTACTTGGAAACATTTAAACTTACTAGACAATGGGCTCTACTGTCAGGTAAGGCCTTGGTCGCCTTCATTTACGTGGTGTGTATTCTATTATGCGTTATTATATTACTGACTGGTAATGTCATCTGTTGTGTACCCTGAGGCTTATGGAGTTTGTAATCGTGTGTGAAACTGAGTGTATGTGTATCACTTATTACTGAACAGAAAAATTATATATATATATTATTTTTGCTAATCATTGTTGATTCTAGTAGAGCTTCTGGTTGTACGTTTGATCTGTGTTTAGTCACGACTGTGTTCCTGCAAACTTTGAAACCTTTTGATTTAAGGAATGACTGTGATCGAACACGTTTATTTTTACATGGCACATATTAATAATTCACATCGCCTTATATCCATATTATGTAAATATACATATTATATACATCTTAAGTACATCATCTTAAATACATGCTGACCTAGCTACCTGTGTTGCACAGTACTGCCGAGAGGACAAGGAGTAGAGCTGCTTTCATTTTCTCGAAGTCTGCCTTACAGTCAATAAACTGTGTTTAGGGTAATATAGCTATAATATAGCTGGAAACGGGTAAAGGCGTGATTGATTACTTCAATTCGAGACACAACGCTCGCTATGCCAGCCTGAATTGTAAGATCACGAGAAACAGGTATTTCGCAGAATCGAATGTGAAAGTAGGTTTCTGTGTGTGTGCTTGTTCGGGGGGTTTGCACTCAAACAGTATCGAATGGTTGGGACAGACGCATGGGGTATATATTCTTATGTCATTGCAGAACATTTCTTGGTGCATTGGTTCTTCGTCGAATGTTGTTTTGTGTCTTTATCGTATTAATATTCAGTGATTTTCTGAGCGGACAATTAAGACATATTTAAAGTAATTGAAGATATCTTAAACGAACTTATAGTATCTGAAATGCGTTTATGATTATGTACAATATGGTAGTAATTAGGGGTGTCACGATACACCAATCTCACGATACGATACGTATCACGATTTTAAGGTCACGATACGATACGTATCGCGATACATAATTTTCGCGCCTTTTCATAGCATTACCTTACCGGCAACGTACGCGCTCGCTGATTGGTCCATCAAAATAGTCTAGCCAATCACAAAAGCTGTTAGTTTCCAACCTTTTTTTTAAGTAAAGCTAGCTACCTCTATTTATCGGAGCGGTCTCGTATAATTTTACTATCAAGACTTTGAAGGAGATGGATATAGCATAAAAAATTGAATCGATAAAGTTTTAAAATAGGAATCGATACACGTAAGCATGTATCGCGTATCGTATCGTCAGTAAAAATGTATCGATGCATCGATACATTCGCGTATCGCGACACCCCTAGTAGTAATTGGTTTATTGATATGTAAAATACATTTAGAGATATCAAGCACTATTTTCCTTTCTCCTAACATTATATAATTATACCAGCAATCTACATTGAATGTCAGAAAACAAATTAAATATATCTTAAAGCCATTTTTGATCTAATTACGTCTACAATTTGGTGATTATGCTAGGGGTCAATGACTTGGCCTCATTGACGCATTGACCGCTTTTCTTGCAGCTGGTACTGAGTCCACCAGTATGACAGTAGATCGCATAGTCGCCATACTTCGTGCAAAGGTCCTCGTCTGAAATCAAAGGTACACAACGTGACAATTTTGTCTGTTAGATGCCAATTGCCGTACATTGGCTAAGTAAAAGCGAAATTCAGCCAGTAAAACCTTTCCAGCTGTCTCTATAAAGAAGACGTGAATGGCTTGTATGGTTTTATGTCGCCTTTTAACAGTCTATCAACATAACGGCTTAGGACCCCGGAACTAGGATACACACTTATTACCCACTTGGGGAGTCGAGCGAACACTTTAACCACGACGCCAAAAGTCTTGCTTCTGTACTTGAAGATCATGAACATTTTCTACTATGCCAGCAGTCTATTACATAAGATATATCACTCGGACCATGATATTCAAAACCAAAATTTGGGCATGTGTGGCTTTCTTTAAAATATGAATCACACAAAACTGTTATTACAAACAAGATATCGGAAAAATAAAAACAAAATCAGGCGAGTATAAAGAATTTTAAACTAATTACGTATATAATGTTATGACTTGGAACTACTCACTGAGTGTGTCACAAATTTCCGTTTCAGGCCCCGAGGGAGTAAATGGGTCCGTGCAGTCAGACTCTGAAGTACCATACTTGCACGCTGCGCAGGGGCTCTTCGCTGAAAAGGGAATCATTCTTATATTTGAGTTGTTGAAGTGTAAAATCTAAATACATGAATGTGACCATTGCAGGTTTTCCTAACACACTCGAATTTCAGCTCTGTTTTTCAATGATTTTACAATTCATTCAAATATGACTTTGTAGGAGTGTAAACAGGTCTCACAACGATGTCAAACTGTTACAACTCGTTCAGAAAATGAAAATCCATCCGTCCGCCCGTCCGTCCGTCCATCCATCCATCCATCCATCCATCCATCCATCCATCCATTCAACTCCATTACAATGTTGCTGACCAGCCTTTTCGAGCTGTTGGATAATCTACTTGTTGAGAAAAGTGGTTCATGTCCAAGGCCAAGGTTCGACGTAAAAAGGGCTTCGAGACATGAATGTATTATTTGGTGTTTTTCTTCAGTTTATCCAAATTACTAGTAATAACATATCATCTAGCCATAAATTATGAAGGGCCCCTTATGTGCATTGTGTTGGCTCTTGGAATGCCAGTGAATTTCCCCTTGCAGGTTAATAAAGTTTATCTTATTTTATTTTAAACCCAGCCCAATGTTTAGGGTCAATGCGAAAATCTCGACTTTTTTCAGCCTTATAATCCTGCTGCTAAATTCCTATCATGCTCAGAATTAGAGACCTGGCAACAACATGTGATAAATAAAAGTTTAAGTAAGTAATATTACACTATTAGCATACATTTAAAAATGTTTAAAAAACCCTTCACGATTTGGGGACTGAAAAGGCGAAAAATGAGAATAAATATAATTTGCACGTGTACCTAAATAATATAATTAATAAGGCAAGTTTTCAGTGCACCGTGCTTTGTGCTGCTAATAACGGTAACTGTACGGAGACGTTTCAACTGGACAGATGGGAACAAGACGTAACTATGTTGCTGATATCTATAAACGAGTGCATAGGTTCAAGCTCACCTAGTAATACCATCTATATGTCACTTCGTCATCTTTTTTTCTTGTGTCCATAATATAGCCTCAGTCAGTTGCATAGGCTGTGTTAAAATTATATATTTGTTTTCCTTGGTTAAACGTTTTATAGGGAATCAGATAAATATGTTCAGGTAGGCATAAACCAACGCTTGAAACTCAGTCAATGTGAGCATTGTTTATCATTGTTTACAGTGGAAACCATACCCGGAAGTGAATCAAAGGGAGATAATTCTAATTGCATCTTTTCTTTATTTTACTCGGAGCTCTGTCCTAGTTGTCTAGTTAACATGAGTTCAAACCCAATCAATGTCAGATTAAAGCGACAGTTTTTTTGTTTTTTGTTGTTGTCTATTTTGTTTATTAGCACGAAAAAGTTAGTCAGCAAATGTAAAAAAGCTGAGCAGCAGCAACTTTGAGCTCTCTTGTTTTTTGCCCATTTTCACGGTTTTCAATTGCCTTACCATTCTGAATTTTGGCACAATATTGGAAGATACTTCTTGCAATGTTGTATCAAATTTTCAGCTGAAAATATCTGCATTATGCTGATTTTCTAAACAATTTTGTGTGCAATTGGTTTGAAAATTCAGTTTGATTTGGATACATGCTCAATCCAACCCCAAGCTTTCCAAAGGCACAATGGCAATAAGCTACAGCCGGCATAGATTGATCACTAATGTTCAAGATCAGACAAGCCATGGACCCATTTGCCTCTCAACTCAGCTCCTGGACCGCTTACGTAACCTGGGAATATCAACCAGCAAGGAGACAAAGAGAGGTGTCAGGGCAGGGAGAAAAATACAAAGAAATATCGAAGTTATTCAAAATGTTTTTAATTCAGAAAACAGCACTAAACAACTGAAAATAAACAGTGACAATCTTCTCATTGTTCACCCTAAACCCAAATCGCCATGGATTCGAGTTGCCTTGTGGAGTGCTAGGTCTTCATGTCACAAAACAGAGGACATTTTGGACTTTGTAATATATAGATGGTGATATTGACATATTACTACTGACTGAAACATGGTTAAATACACATGGTGATGAAGCAAAGATAGTTGCAATGACGCCGTCCACACACGGGTGTATTCATATAGCACGACCAGACAGACCTGGTGGAGGGATTGCAGCTCTCTGTAGAAAATTTCTCGGAATTGAAAGGATTGATCTAACGATTTATCGCCAAAATCATTTGAAAAACTGTTTCTGAAGGTTGTGATATCTGAAACTTCCTTGACTCTGGTGTGTATCTACAGACCTCCACCTTCAAAGAAAAATAATCTCACTGTGCATGACTTTCACTCAATGTACCTCATCAATCAAGTCCTGGATGCGAACCAATATGCACACATGAATGAGGATAAGACCGAGGTGATGCTGATAGGCTCAAGCAAACAGTTGGCCAAAGTCGAAGAGACATCCATACTGATAGCAGGATCACAAATACCAATCTCTCACCACGTCAAAGATCTTGGTGTCTATCTGGATTTTCACTCCATGGAAAAGCAAGCTTCCCACATATGCAGAACGTGCTTTTATCATCTTAGAGCCATTGGCAATATACGACATCTTATAACAACTGAGGCAACAAAGCCCCAGTTCAATGGTCTAATTACATCAAGACTGGATTATTGTAACAGTTTGTTGCAGGGCATTAGTGACAGACATCTATCCTGACTACAAATGGTCCACAACACAGCGGCTAGGATCATTACCAAAACCAGGAAGTATGCGCATATATCACCCATCCTTAGGGACCGTTCATAATTTATGGCTAGCGGGGGGTGATGATGATTTTAACGGGGGGTCACGCATTTTGTTCTGGGGAAGTAGGAGGGGGTCATCAATTTCGTACACGTTTCTTGCGGGGTCAGCAATTTTGTACATAATTTTTTTTTAAAACCTTTTTGACAGTAGATGGCATAGTTTCCGTACTTCGTGCAAAGGTCCTCGTCTGAAATCAAAGGTACACAACGTGTCAATTTTGTCTGTTGGATGCCAACTGCCGTACACTGGTAATGATAGAACGGAAGAAGATGTTAAGAAAAACATTTAAACCCCACCCCACCCCCAGCCCCCACCCCCGTTCTCGGACTTTTCTATGGTAAATATATGACGCGTGGCTGACTTATAACGGGGTTCTACTTACTGATTTTGTCACAAAATCCCGATACAGGCCCCGAGGGAGTAAATGGGTCCGTGCAGTCAGCCTTTGCAGTACCATACTTGCACGCTGTGCAGGAGCTCTTCCCTGAAATGAGAATCATTCTGACATTTGAGATGTTGAAGTGTAAAAATGTTAATTCATGACACTGGCAATTGTACATTTTCACAACATACTCGAAGAATCTTTTTCATGCTGTAAAAGATTGAACAACTGATTCAGAAAACAACAACGATGTAGCCTTTGGTTGCCTGGTTCTGTCTGTAATGGATCGACTAGTAATCACAACGACTAGTAAGTTTCTGTTGACATACAGTTTTTATTCATATATGGACTTTTTGAATGTAGGTGTGTTGGACTTCAGTTATATATAGCATATATTTCAGACATATGGAGAACATTTCCATATTTGACACAGTGACAAACATTCTGCCAGCTATGATTTCCTACTCTGAATTTTCCTATATGTTCCCGTGTTCAATTGCCAATGAATCTGTTGACTTGACGTTGCTTGTGTTTGTGGCGAATACCAGCGACGTGCAGGGTTTCATTTACAATCAAAAAGTGATTTATGAACATGGTTATGGCCGCTTCTATTGCAACTGTTTTGGAATCCACCTGTCCGACAGTAGATTGCATAGTCGCTGTACTTTGAGCAAAGGTCCTCGTCTGAAAACAAAGAGATATGTCAATTATGTTTTGTCTGTTAGATGTCAGTTGTCATACACAGGACAACCTGTCGAGAATAGGCTTAAGCCAAACATTTCAGGTGTCTCTTTAACCATGGTTTGCTGAGTGAGTGAGTATGGTTTTAGGAACATTCAGTAACATCACTGACCGGAGCACCAGAAATAGACGTCACATATTGTAATAATAAATGGAGGTCTAACCAAGGTCTTCGGTTTGACGATCTGACACTTTAACTACAAGGTTACATATTTTTAAAAAACAAACATCCCCACCGGACCCCCACCTCCCATCCACCCAAAGAATTGGAACTACTCACTGAGTGTGGAACAAACTTCCGATTCAGGCCCCGAGGGAGTAAATGGGTCCGTGCAGTCAGCCTCTGAAGTACCATACTTGCACGCTGTGCAGGAGCTCTTCACTGAAAAGGAAATCATTCTGATATTTCAGTTGTTAAAGTGTAAAGCTTTGATTTCAAGAATATGGCAATTGCAAGTAGTCACAACATACTCGAATATTTTTCATGTTGTCAAAGATTGTACAGCTGATTCAGAAAAAAGCAACATTTCAGCATTTGGTCCCCTGCTTCAGCTTATAATGAAAAGTAATTAATCACAACGTCCAGTAAATTTCTGTTGACATACAGTTTTTATTCATCCACCCATCATCCATCCATCCATCATTCATCCATCTATCCTCCATCCATCCATTCATCCATCTATCTATTTTTTATTCATTTATTTGAACATCTGCCCTTTTTGAATGTAGATGTGTTAGACTTCAGTTAAATGGCTTACTTTCATGTACGACAAAACTTTCGCAATAGCTTCACTGTCACGAAATACCGTCTCGAACACATATATGCACCTGTAACTCACGCTGGGAGTGAAAAACCCTTGGCAAACATCTGTACTTTGTACTTGGAAAAATTTAAAGTTACTAGACAATGGGCTCTACTGTCAGGTAAGGCATAGGTCGCCTTCATTGAGGTGGTGTGCATTCCACATCTCTGAATTTGTAATTTAAAGGGACACTGAGCTAGATCTAATTCCCCGGGGATGGTTGTTGCTTTTGTTACTGTTATTTCTTCCCGCGACTACCCGGATAATATCCCAGAATTCTAGTCATCTGTTTTGCCTTAGTCATTGTACGTCTTTATATTTGTGTCTTAATTATTCTATTATTATATGTTTATGCATTTTGGATCATCATAAAATGTACACGATCTGTTTAAGAGGATTTATACCATAATTGTAATATCTAAACATTTGATAGATTGTCTACCTGAATCATATTTAGCACACACACACACCTAGTGGCAGTTTCTCAACTGGTCACGTGACTGTTTCAGGTTTTTCACACAGTTTATAACCTCATTCATCACACCTCACAACTATTTACATTAACAAATATCACATCTTACAACTATTTACATCAACAAATATCACAACTTACAACTATTTACATTAACAAATATCACATCTCACAACTATTTACATTAACAAATAGCACACCTTACAACTATTTACATTAACAAATAGCACACAACTATTTACATTAACAAATAGCACAACTCACAACTATTTACATTGACAAATAGCACATCTTACAACTATTTACATTAACAAATAGCACATCTTACAACTATCTACAATAACAAACATCACATATCACAACTATTTACATAAACAAATAGCACATCTTACAACTATTTACATTAACAAATAGCACACCTCACAACTATTTAGATTAACAAATAACACACCTCACAATTATTACATTAACAAATATAATTAAAGTACATTAAAAATAAGATACAGTATCAATCAGAACAGAGAAAACTCAAGCTGATGAATCTGCACTTACATCAAGATAAACATTGACACTGGTAGTAACAGCTGATCAAACAATAGAGGCAATAGAGGTGAACGCTAATATATGGGCAAAATACTTAAGGCATGTTTTGTAGTACATTCCATTTTCTGTTGAATAGACTGATTCAATCTTTTTTAATAGGAATGTATTTTTCTACTGTGAAGACGTATTTAAGGGTAACTTTAAAAGAATTAATGCATGGTTTAAACCCTTTGATGTTCATAACAAATATATGTCGTTTGGCTAGAATGATCATATGAGTTAATAAACTGTTAAAAATAATGGATTTAGGCTGTAAAATAAAAAATAATGTCATTCTTTGTTATTTCAGTATGTTTTCCGAATATTATATTAACATAGTAGTTAAAATCGTCCCAGAAGGATTTGACATATGGACATTTTATATACACATGGTCGATATTTACGCCTTCTGTCCCACAGAAAGCACACAAATCGGAGTCAACCACTTTCATTTTTAGTAGTTCTTTTTTGGTATAAATTATTCTATGCCAGAATTTGTATTGAAATTCTAATAGTTTTGTATCACTTATGGCTTTTCTATATCGTGAAAAAATACATTTCAAGTCAATAGATGTATCAACTTCTCTTTCCCATTTATTACAAACGTTCGGGAAACTGGTAGCTGAGATGAGTTTATCATAGAGAAGTCTAGATCCTTTACAGGGATTATTAATATCGTTCCAAGGGCACACCGTTTTAATGTGAAAGAGATCCATTATAACATTTTGCAGTCTTGTTCTCCATACCTTTGGGATGTTAAGTAATAAACGATTGTAATCAAGTATGGTACCCTATAAATTGAATGATGCTTTTAAGTTTATGAATGGAATTAATCCGTTTTCATCACAGACATCTTTTACATAAACTATACCTTTGTTAAACCAGTTTTTTATAATAAAGTTTGAGACATAAAAGTCGTGGTTTAACCACAGCGGTTGCATTAAAATGTCGTTGATATCCTCAGTGTTAACAGAATGGATCTTTACATATTTACTCCACGCCTTTACAACATCATTCATGAAGGGGTTTTTAATTTTCAAGTAAAACAGGATATTTGCACCGAAATGGAAGATATAGTCTAACCGAATACAGGTCATACTGTTTCTGTTTAGTGATGTATCTTTTTAGACATGAAATATTTAGTGATTCAATGAATGTTTTAATATCAATCATCCCTAAACCTCCATTTTCATATTTCCGCATAAGATTGATTCGTTTTATTTTGTCCTTTTTGTCGTTCCATATAAACTTTTAAAATCGATAAAATCGGGTAGTGGGTTTGGAAGGGGGGTAAATATATGAACTATGTTTGATAAGGCCAACGTTTTAATTACGGTAATTTTGACAATCAAAGTCAAATTACGTTTACCCCATTTTGAAAGAATTCTTTTGATGTTGTTTAGTCTTTTTAGTGTTGATGACCCACAGGTTTTGCAAAGAAGCGTTCAGTGTTATTCCCAATAATCGAAGTTTCCTACATGCATCTAGATTAAGGTTTAGGGTTAGTTTTATCTTACTTCCAGCGAGTGATCCAAGACAAACTGCCTTAATTTTATCAACGTTTATTTTACAACTATATAAATTCGGTTTAATATTTGAACGAAAAATGTTGTTTGTACACAGATACTTTACGACAGTATGTGGGTGTATTGAGTGTATGTTAGTAAATCTACATACATAAACACTACCTTTTGACAAATCCGCTGTGCAAGGTTAATCTTTTCATCGATGTTGGCTTTTTTTAAAAACTCAGCTAATAATTCCTCTTGCTGAACTTCAATGCGCATATCACATAACACATAATACGTTTGCCTCATCAAACCTTATGATCCAATAACATAAATGACAAATGAATAAATGTATGCTCAGTGGCATTGTATAGATATGTCAAATAAAAATAAATGTGCAATGAATGATGTGAAAAAAATGTGCTCAAAATATGTGCTATGTGCTCTTTGACCTTGTTGAATGTTGAAATATTGACAAATAAATAACTGGATATCTTAAACTCTTGACAGTTTTTCCTTGGGGGTTTTGTCTGGGGATAAAGAATTTGTCGGGGAATTAAGGTTTACACGGGTTGCAGCACAGGGAGTAGTAATCGCTGTTTAGCATGCAATTGTAATTGCCTTAAAATCCGACGCTAGGGTTGACGCTGTTTTGTGGATACGAACGGTACTTCAGTGTTGCCTAAGAAATACATATGTAGGAAACCTGGGTTAAATTGTAGAGTAATTAGGAGACGTGGGTTCTATATGTGGATATCAAGACATTAATTACCACTGATAGATTAATAGCTTACCGGAGAGTCTTGTAGCACATTGTTTCACTTGCTCTACTGACTTCCCGAGGTCCTGTTCAGGATCACGCAATCCCCGTTATAAAGCAGGATGTTAGCGCTATATAGGGGTGTTAGATTATCTTATTCTAGCGTTAGGTCGGGTTGGGGGAAAATTAGTGTAGGAAACAAAATAGGATTTAGGCTGTATTCTGGGGTAATGTTCGTTCAAGAAGGGTTGGTTTGGGTGGTTTATAAGAGAAGTTAAGGGATTAGTGTACCCGAAGGACTGAAGGGTATGTGAGTGAAAGAATTGTGGCATTTACAAGTTGTTGAGTTTTTGTTTCACAGATATAGGATCAAATTGGATCAGTCATCATACCATCCACGCATGAGAAAATCCGAAAAAGCCTACATTGCTGGTATACTTTATTAGAATCAGACTAGAACTACCGGGGATATTTTCAAATAACGGCATCTGATGGGCAACCAATGTTCTTATTGTCCCATTGTTTACATTGAAGAAATCCTGCCAATGTGGACGGTGTCTACCCGGTCCGTAGACCAAATTTCATTTGTTGCACTGTGTAGACAAACAGAAATAGGGTGATTACCTGTTTTGTAGACAGTGTGTGTTTACCCGAGCGTGGTGATCTTGTGACAAGTAATTGACCTTGTTAAGGTATAGCCTTTGATCAACAGTTTTATAATAAAGAATATTACCTGTTACAATATAGAATATTACATCACATCTTACCGACAAATAAAATGTTATTTAAGATTGGATATCGAGATAATTCAAAATGCAGCTTTTGCCAAGACGAAAATGAGACACCTTTTCACATATTCTAGTCTTGCAGCAAACCTGAATTGTAAAATCCCGAGAAACGGGTATTTCGCAGAATCGAATGTGAAAGTAGGTTTCTGTGTGTGTGCTTGCTGGGGGTTTGCTCTCAAACAGTATCGAATGGTTGGGACAGTCGCATGGGGTATATATTCCTATTTCATTGCATTTGCTTTTCGTCGAATGTTGTTTTGCGTCTTTAGCTAATACATGTACTATATCAATATGTGGTCACACGTTATTCCTTTTCACTTAGAAAATGGGGTTATTTCGTTCGTCCACGTTTCAGGGCCGCCGAACTCCGCTGTAGGCAATCTGCTGTTCGTACACCACTAACACCACGTCACAGGCAACAAACATTAACAAATATCACATCTCACAACTATTTACATTAACAAATAGC